CAATGAGTCTAGAACTCAGGAGACAAAGCTGGTGTGGAATTAGGGCTTCAGTACCATCAGCATAAAGAATAAGGCTCAGACTGTAGGAATAAATGTAGTCTCCAGAGTGATGGAGAGACAGGGACAGAAATTTAAGAGCAGTGAGATTTGAGGGAAGGACAGACATGGGGCCTCCAGGAGAGCCCGCTAGGAAACACTGGAGAAGGTGGGAAGCCAACCAGAAAGGATTCTGAAAGAGGAAGGGGGCTATCAGTCTCAGTGGTGATGGGCAGGGCCAAGAAGGTCAAAAGATAGCCAAAGGTAAGGTTAAGAGTCAGGTCACACTTTGGAGAAGTTGTGTGTGATTGATGGTTATGGCACGTCCTTCACATGTAGATGCCCGATTTCAGGGCATGAGAGAATGCTGAGGGTGTTTTAAATCTTCAGTTCTATTGATTCCTTTAGGTCACACCAACTGTTGCTCACATTAAGGATGAAAACCACTGGTTTTGTGCACATCCAGGAGAAGGCAATGGCAACCCACTCCAGTACTCTTGCCTGGAAAATCCCATGGACAGAGAAGCCTGGTAGGCTGCAGTCCCTGGGGTAGTAAAGAGTTGGACACGACTGAGCGACTTCCCTTTCACTTTTCACTTTCATGCACTGGAGAAGGAAATGGCAACCCACTCCAGTGTTCTTGCCTTGAGAATCCCAGGGATGGCGGAGCCTGGTGGGCTGCCGTCTATGCGGTTGCACAGAGTCAGACACGACTGAAGCGACTTAGCAGCAGCAGCAGCAGCAGCAGTGCACATCCAGCCTTTCCCTAAAATCACCAGAAGCGGTGAGGCCAGAGAAGTGATGAAAGTGGATTTATGAAGAGGGCATTCACGGGCTTTCTGAGCCTATGAGTGTAAACACGTCACGCTTCCTGTGAGTCGGGCGCCCCCTCCTGGTTCCCTAGTGGTCAGAGGCTGCATTCCAGGGGGTTAGTTGGGGGACTGTCCTGCCGAAGATCTTTAATAACCCAATTTCCTTTATTGTTTTTTTTTTCTTTCCAGACAAATGGACTTGACTTTTCTAAAGACTTCACAGAACTGCTAATTTGGCAAAAGAGTGGGTTGTGAGAAAAGTGCTAATGGATCAGGATGGGGGATTGCCATGCCTGGCACTCAGTTAGGACTTCGACAAGGTTTGTGGGTTGAAGGAGTGAGTGAATGAATAAATGAAACTGTATTAGAGAGTGCTGGCATGTTGTACTGCATGAAGGGATGGGAGCCTCATGGTTGCCTTTTCCTGCTCCTCTCCTTCCCCTCTACCCTCTTCCGTAATGCAAGCTCTCTGGGCAATTTTAGTCACCTTTTCCTCCACTAAGCATCTTTCATATTAAAGAGAAGATGGTTCCAAAATCAGTATTTTCCTTTATGAGGAGGAATGATGAGGACTGGCTCTACGTGGATGTTCTATTTTCTTTCTTTCCTCTTCTTTTTTTCCCTTTTAGCTAGATTATAGTGACAGGGAGGGAAAACATCACACCAAATGGCAATGGTGGTGTAGCTGCAAAAAGGACAGAAAGGGATTGGCACGAAGTGGAAGGAGTAAACACAGTAGAGCATCGCAGAGTGATGGACTTGAACAACTGTGAGTAAAAACACAGTAGAGCATCGCAGAGTGATGGACTTGAACAACTGTGAGTAAAAACACAGTAGAGCATCGCAGAGTGATGGACTTGAACAACTGTGAGTAAAAACACAGTAGAGCATCGCAGAGCGATGGACTTGAACAACTGTGAGTAAAAACACAGTAGAGCACCGCAGAGCGATGGACTTGAACAACTGTGAGTAAAAACACAGTAGAGCACCGCAGAGCGATGGACTTGAACAACTGTGAGTAAAAACACAGTAGAGCACCGCAGAGCGATGGACTTGAACAACTGTGAGTAAAAACACAGTAGAGCACCGCAGAGCGATGGACTTGAACAACTGTGAGTAAAAACACAGTAGAGCACCGCAGAGCGATGGACTTGAACAACTGTGAGTAAAAACACAGTAGAGCACCACAGAGCGATGGACTTGAACAACTGTGAGTAAAAACACAGTAGAGCACCACAGAGCGATGGACTTGAACAACTGTGAGTAAAAACACAGTAGAGCACCACAGAGCGATGGACTTGAACAACTGTGAGTAAAAACACAGTAGAGCACCACAGAGCGATGGACTTGAACAACTGTGAGTAAAAACACAGTAGAGCACCACAGAGCGATGGACTTGAACAACTGTGAGTAAAAACACAGTAGAGCACCACAGAGCGATGGACTTGAACAACTGTGAGTAAAAACACAGTAGAGCACCACAGAGCGATGGACTTGAACAACTGTGAGTAAAAACACAGTAGAGCACCACAGAGCGATGGACTTGAACAACTGTGAGTAAAAACACAGTAGAGCACCACAGAGCGATGGACTTGAACAACTGTGAGTAAAAACACAGTAGAGCACCACAGAGCGATGGACTTGAACAACTGTGAGTAAAAACACAGTAGAGCACCACAGAGCGATGGACTTGAACAACTGTGAGTAAAAACACAGTAGAGCACCACAGAGCGATGGACTTGAACAACTGTGAGTAAAAACACAGTAGAGCACCACAGAGCGATGGACTTGAACAACTGTGAGTAAAAACACAGTAGAGCACCACAGAGCGATGGACTTGAACAACTGTGAGTAAAAACACAGTAGAGCACCACAGAGCGATGGACTTGAACAACTGTGAGTAAAAACACAGTAGAGCACCACAGAGCGATGGACTTGAACAACTGTGAGTAAAAACACAGTAGAGCACCACAGAGCGATGGACTTGAACAACTGTGAGTAAAAACACAGTAGAGCACCACAGAGCGATGGACTTGAACAACTGTGAGTAAAAACACAGTAGAGCACCACAGAGCGATGGACTTGAACAACTGTGAGTAAAAACACAGTAGAGCACCACAGAGCGATGGACTTGAACAACTGTGAGTAAAAACACAGTAGAGCACCACAGAGCGATGGACTTGAACAACTGTGAGTAAAAACACAGTAGAGCACCACAGAGCGATGGACTTGAACAACTGTGAGTAAAAACACAGTAGAGCACCACAGAGCGATGGACTTGAACAACTGTGAGTAAAAACACAGTAGAGCACCACAGAGCGATGGACTTGAACAACTGTGAGTAAAAACACAGTAGAGCACCACAGAGCGATGGACTTGAACAACTGTGAGTAAAAACACAGTAGAGCACCACAGAGCGATGGACTTGAACAACTGTGAGTAAAAACACAGTAGAGCACCACAGAGCGATGGACTTGAACAACTGTGAGTAAAAACACAGTAGAGCACCACAGAGCGATGGACTTGAACAACTGTGAGTAAAAACACAGTAGAGCACCACAGAGCGATGGACTTGAACAACTGTGAGTAAAAACACAGTAGAGCACCACAGAGCGATGGACTTGAACAACTGTGAGTAAAAACACAGTAGAGCACCACAGAGCGATGGACTTGAACAACTGTGAGTAAAAACACAGTAGAGCACCACAGAGCGATGGACTTGAACAACTGTGAGTAAAAACACAGTAGAGCACCACAGAGCGATGGACTTGAACAACTGTGAGTAAAAACACAGTAGAGCACCACAGAGCGATGGACTTGAACAACTGTGAGTAAAAACACAGTAGAGCACCACAGAGCGATGGACTTGAACAACTGTGAGTAAAAACACAGTAGAGCACCACAGAGCGATGGACTTGAACAACTGTGAGTAAAAACACAGTAGAGCACCACAGAGCGATGGACTTGAACAACTGTGAGTAAAAACACAGTAGAGCACCACAGAGCGATGGACTTGAACAACTGTGAGTAAAAACACAGTAGAGCATCACAGAGCGATGGACTTGAACAACTGTGAGTAAAAACACAGTAGAGCATCACAGAGCGATGGACTTGAACAACTGTGAGTAAAAACACAGTAGAGCATCACAGAGCGATGGACTTGAACAACTGTGAGTAAAAACACAGTAGAGCATCACAGAGCGATGGACTTGAACAACTGTGAGTAAAAACACAGTAGAGCACCACAGAGCGATGGACTTGAACAACTGTGAGTAAAAACACAGTAGAGCATCACAGAGCGATGGACTTGAACAACTGTGAGTAAAAACACAGTAGAGCATCACAGAGCGATGGACTTGAACAACTGTGAGTAAAAACACAGTAGAGCATCACAGAGCGATGGACTTGAACAACTGTGAGTAAAAACACAGTAGAGCATCACAGAGCGATGGACTTGAACAACTGTGAGTAAAAACACAGTAGAGCATCACAGAGCGATGGACTTGAACAACTGTGAGTAAAAACACAGTAGAGCATCACAGAGCGATGGACTTGAACAACTGTGAGTAAAAACACAGTAGAGCATCACAGAGCGATGGACTTGAACAACTGTGAGTAAAAACACAGTAGAGCATCACAGAGCGATGGACTTGAACAACTGTGAAGACGCAGGAAGGGTTTATCAATACAACCTTTTTGTTTCTCAGAATAGGCAAATCATAGAGACATAAAGTAGATCAGTGGTTGCCAGGCACTAGGCTGAGAGTGGGATCAGTACAGGTTTCTTTTGGGGGTGGTGAAAGTGTTCTGGAATTAGATAGTGGTAATGGTTTCCTTTGCAAATACATTATAAATCACTAAACTGTACCATTTGTAATCAATCTTGATTTCTACTAGAACACAAATATGTGGACAATTAATACTGCTTAAGGGGTGAAGAAAGAGGGGAAGATCAGGGAAAATCAGGGGCAAGGGACATTAAATTTTTCTTTGAAGGATATGTTGTAGTCTGTTATGCTCCATGAAAATTGGCTGTTGTGCTCACCTTTATACCTCAAACAGTATCTGGCACAGAGAGAAAAGGGAAATAGCCTTCCAAGCAGAAGAAACACATTAACAGAGAAAAGAGAAATGAGCGTGACTAACACATATTTAGTTAGGGTCGCTCTCGCTGTTACAACCAGTGAACCCCGAAGGGTTCAGTGATGTCGCATACAATAAACTTATTTCTTGCATATAAATAAGCCCGGTGTGAATGGTCCTGATTAGCTGGTGGCTTTCTTCCACATGGTAACTCAGGGACCCGGGGTTCTCACATCTTGGCGCTGTAGCTTCACCGAGGGCCTTGGAACATTCTGCACCCCGCTGAAGGATGGGAAAAACAAGATGGCGGACGCGCACTTCCGTATCTCCGCCACACGTCACTTCCTTGAGCATAAATGACGCACAGCACTAGCTCTCGCGCCAAAGAGGTGAGAGCCTCTCATGCTTCCCACCTGGAAATGAGGGCGGCCTGGACACGCAATCCTGGGCTGGGCGGCCGCCTCCCAGAAACCAGTCTGCGACTCGGGAGTGTGTCAGGCGCTCAGCCCGACTCTGCGAACCCACGGAAGCAGCCCGACTCTGCGAACCCACGGGAGCAGCCCGACTCTGCGAACCCACGGGAGCAGCCCGACTCGGCGAACCCACGGGAGCAGCCCGACTCGGAGAACCCACGGGAGCAGCCCGACTCGGCGAACCCACGGTAGCAGCCCGACTCTGCGAACCCACGGGAGCAGCCCGACTCTGCGAACCCACGGGAGCAGCCCGACTCGGCGAACCCACGGGAGCAGCCCGACTCGGCGAACCCACGGAAGCAGCCCGACTCTGCGAACCCACGGGAGCAGCCCGACTCTGCGAACCCACGGAAGCAGCGCGACTCGGCGAACCCACGGAAGTAGCCCGCCAGGCTCCTCTGGCCATGGGACTCTCCAGGCAAGAATAGTGCGGTCAGTAGCCATTCCGGTCTCCAGGGGGTCTTTCCGACCCAGGGATCCAACCTGCGTCTCCTGTGTGGCAGACAGATTCTTTACCATCTGAGTCACTGGGGAAACCCCTATAACATGGACGCAGTGGACAAACCGTTGTAGAGTTAGCTCTCTCTGCCGCAGGAATAATAAGTTCATGAGGCGAAAGGGTAGGAGGTAGGAGTGGGAAGGTAAGAACGCTGGGGCCACATTATGTTCGTTTGTAGGAGCTTACACGCAAGAGAAAGCCCAGAGGCGATGTGAAATACTTTCTCTGAAAAGAAACAACTCTAGCTGTAGGAAGCTTATGGTGTGGACAAGAAATTAAAAGTAAGACCCGGCGCGCCAAAGCTCTGAATGCATGTTTCTGTCATCACACTGCGTGTTTCTGTTTCTCTCCAAAACCTCTTTAAATGATGAGGACCTCAGCGGGGTGTCTCAGATGGAAGCAGAGTCCTCTTCTGCTTTAGCAGCACTCTGACCTAGTTGAAATCCCCTTTGTTTTGGTCTAGAATTCTCCCTTTATGTACAGTGGAAAGTCAGAATGTACCTGCACTGTTACCAAGACTGCCAGTTAAAACCCCTCAGCTCTTCTTTTTTGCAGCTGGTGAAAATTACATGGGCTAAAACATTTCAGTTGACATAAATAAAATGTTCACCAGCAGTGAGGATGTGTTCCATAAAGAATTAGAACTACTGGAAGCTGGTACTGCCCCAGGATTGGTACTTAACACAGTTTGTGAAAGACTACATTTTAAATTCAAGTTTTAGAAGAATCTTCAAGCACCATCTTGGCACAAGCTCCCCCAATGTTTAGGATGTTTGAAAAGCAGCTCATGTTTTCCTTCCAGACAATGCTTTGAAGATTTAATTAACTTTGGACCAAACTGGTCTACATTTGCAAAGGACTAAGTGGTTGGCTCTATGAAGGACCTTCATTTCTTAAAAAACGTAAATCTAAAAGATGTTTATTGGTTTAGCAGTTCCTAGTTTGCATCCACTCTGATCTTTAAAAGCCATCCAGCCACCTTCTCAGATATGTTCTGAGTAGGAAACTGTACTATATAGACATGAAAGCACTAAAGTGTTGGGGAGAGTGGGGTGGGATCTGAATGGTTCTTTTTCTTCACCTCTCTCCTCCTCCCTCCTCCACTACGCTAGCTTGGATGTGCACACAAGTAACAAAAGAGGTGGGGTTTTCTTAGGGGTCCCGACACCATCAAATCTTGTCAAAGCCAGATTCTTGATACCCTGATTCCAATAAATCAGTGTGTGAAATGCTGGAACACAAGCTGCGTCTCCCGTTCTTGGTGTCATTTGTGTACACATCAGTCTTAGTTCTCTCCTTCCCCTCCATCAGGCCCACTGTCAGGTCAGTAGGAGTCTCACCCTGAGACTATGTGTTTCAAGCAGGAGCGGCTGCTCTGAAAACCCTGGCGGCGGCAGCTCGACTCCGGAGGAAACAGCGTGTGTAAAATGATTCGTAAAGTGATCTATTGTCATTACGGAGTCCAGCTTCTGCAAATACACGAATCTAATCCATAAAAAACAAGCAGACTCTAGTGGTGATTGTATCCGTTTGCCACCCCTTGGACCCTCTGCTCCCTCTAGGCAGATGCCCTCACCCACTAGTTTGTTTCCTGAGACCCAGGCTCTTTGGTGAGCCGTCTCCTCCCTACCTCTCCTTCCTGCCCCAGAGAAGCCATGATCCTTCTTCCAGGGTGGGATCGCCTCCTTTTCCCTCTAGAACCTCATTTCAGCCGTCATTAATCTCTTTTCTGACTTAATAACTTTACATTTGCAGTCTGTTTTTCATACATGGATAAAACAATCAAGTCCTTTGCACTTTCTCATGGTTTCTTGGCACCCATGGTTTAGCTGTTCTTGAATCTTTCCTGCCTTCTTCCCTTCTTTTCCCTCTCTTTCTGTACAGACTTGTTTTATACTAGTTTTCCTCACTTCTCTTCCTTGACTGTCTCTACCATGGAAGCTGGGTAACTTCCAACCCTCACATTGTCACTGGTTCTCTTACTCAGCTCTAAAGACCCTGGCTTTTTTCTCTTCTGTCCTTTAACATAGTACCTCCTGGGGTCTATCCAAGGCTTTCCCTTCTAGAGCTACTTTGTGTCTTTTAATAATCACTTTTGTTTTTTGAGCTTCAGTCAGCACTTTTACATAAGTGAATCTAGCAGGAAGGAACTCATCTCATGATCCACTTAGCCATCCTGTCACAAAAGTGCCCCAACTCAAAAAGCAATAATTCAGGCTACAATTGATGAATAATTTTATGGGAAGAATTGTACAATGCATAATATAATGCAAGAACCACTTGCTTAGAAGCCCAGGGAAGGGGCTAGTGTTCTAGATTTCTGAACTTTTATTACATGAAAATCAAAAGTTTGGACTAGACAATATATAAGTTTCTTTTACCTCACAAAGTTTATGATTTGTGTAGAGTATTTTTAGAGAAATATTTTATTGCCCCAGTGTCTTTACTTCTATTTCAGGGGAAAAAAGCTAGCCACCTAGAAAAAGAGATTATTTTCCTTTAAGGGTCTTTTATCATAATACTTCATAACAATATCCAAGGAAATTAACACCTTGGCATTGTTTTTTACTAAGTTAAGGGGGAGCTGAGAGGAGAAGTTTCAATTTATAGTTTGAAAAGAGTTGACTTGCCATTACCTAGGATTAAGACTTAAGAGTTGGGGCTACCATAATAAGAGCTAGAGTTAATTATTTTTAAAAAATCAATTCTAGTATCCCAGATACCTGGATATAGAATATGCTCAAAATGAAGTTTAAATTGACTTCTCCAGGGGGAAATTGTTACATTTTGGGTGTCACAAGTCATTGAAAAACATACTTATTATGAAATGCTAAAGCCTTTGATCAAAGAACTACACAATCAGACAAGTTAAATGTTAAAAACAAACTTCTTTTCCTTTTTAATAGTGTCTTAATAGCACTTTTAAATGTAGGGCTGGCCTGAGATCATTTCCCCTGTCACCTTAATCCTCACTCACAAGCACAGTGATGAGCTGGCGTTGACAGAAGTAACACCATCTTTGCTCAGACTTTCTGCCTTGACCCCCACCAGCCTCTTATGTTTCCTTCTCTGTCAAGACTGAGTGAGTGCTGTAGCCTGAGGCTTTGTAAGGTCCACTAGAGGCCAAAGATGTATTGTGGGGTGAGTTTTAAAAGAAGTAATTCCATTTAAAAAAGAAAACTTCTCATGTAGTTCAGTATACCATTACATATTTTAAAATAACAACCGAATTGTCCGTTACATTATGTTCTGCAACATAAGAGGCAGATCTATACAAATACTGCTATTCAGTAAATCTTAAAAAAATTTAATTCCCTTTCATGAAATTTGCAATCAGATTTTTATTATTTAAAAGACAGTAATGGGTAATTCAAAATGCATGCATGCATGCTCAGTTGTGTCCAACTTTTTGCAACCCCATGGACTATAGCCCTCCAAGCTACTCTGTCCATGGGATTTTCCAGGCAAGAATACTGGAGTGGGTTGCCATTTCCTTCTCCAGGAGATCTTCCTGACCCAGGGATCGAATCCGGGTCTCCTACTTGCAGGCAGATTCTTTACCAACTGAGTTCGTCATAAAATTTTTTTTAAATTGTGATTTCTCCATTAGCATGCATTTCTTTTGAAGGAAACTATAAAAATCCTAAAGGAAAACATAGAGGATAACCTCCTTGACGTTGGTCTTGGCAATTTTTTGGATTTTTCACCAAAACAAAGGCAATAAATGAAGAAAATGCTCAACAGCATCAAGCTGAAAAGCTGTGTACAGCAGAGGGAAGTCTTTGCTGACAAACCGCTGTGTTGGCTGAGATGTGGATGAGTGAGCGCTGGCAGGCGAGGGCGAGAGGTCACATAGGTGAGGGCGAGAGGTCAGGTAGGTGAGGGCTAGAGGTCACATAGGTGAGGGCGAGAGGTCAGGTGGAGGGAGGAGTGTTACGGGAGAGGAGAGAGCATATACAAAGGCCCTGGGGTGAGAAGGGATGTGGTTCTTGATGCATTGAGGAAGGGCCAGAATGCTCAGCATGGCTTGGAGGCAAATACTGATAGAGGAAGGAAATTGATGGATATGAATAGGAGGCTAGAGAGGCACATAGGGACCATGGGAGGCAAAGCCTTGTACTTGTAAATAGGATTTTGGTCTTTAACAACAGTAGGGGACAATAGAGACATTATCAGATTTGCATTTTGAAAAGGTTACTCTGGGTATCTGTGTGAAATCTGAATTTTGCCTTTCTTATGCAAGGAAGCTTCCTGTTCATCTTCCCAAGGTGCCCGAATTTCTGTTTTTCACAATAAGATAAAAAGTTTTTTTTAAAGCATTAAGAAAAACCCTCCTCCTTCCAATGATTATACACTATTTTCCTTTATTCTTTTCTTGATCT